GGAAAGAGTTTCACTACCGCTGTTAAATTATATGCAAAGAAAGCCTAAGTAATTTGTAACTGGATAAACAGAGAAACTACTTTTATGTGACTGAGTAATACAGTGTCTAGTTTATGAAGTAAATAAATAGGCTTTCCTCATCACTCTCTTCTTTTACCATGTTCACAGCAGTCTGTACTAGCAAGAGAACTGTTCTACCTAGTAAACTATCTTTCTAGGATGACTGGCAGATTTTTTTTTCCCTTGGATTAATTCTAAAGTGCCTCAGCCATAGCTTTTGGAACATTCACAAATACCTGTCTGACAGAAGTAAGAAAACACTTCTACAGTGAAAAATGTAATTTTGCATTTTATTGTCTGAATGCCTACATTCTGTGCAGTTTCTGTGCACATATTTGTTTAAAGGGCACTACTGAGCATCCTGCATAAAGTAAAAATTAAGGCAAGGACCTTATATGAAGAAGAAAAATATTTAAGAACTGAAAAGGTGAACTAATAATGGTTTGCACATGCATGAAATAACTAAAATTCTTAATACAGAGGAAAGGAATAGGAAAATATCTCAAGAGATGTGAAGATCAACAACCACAAAAAAAACCACAACAAGCCCCAACTTCCAAACAACAAACACGGTATTTTCACCTCTGTAATAGGCCTTAGTTATTGCATCAAATTCTTCTTGACCTGCAGTGTCCCATAACATCAGCCTGACATCTTCATCATTAACTCTGAAATAAATTACAGGATTTTGTAATCAATATGAGGAACAAGAGCAATTCAAAACAACTGGTATCGAAATATTTCTGTCTACAATATGAGTAAATCAGTTAAAATGTAACTTAATTTAAATATAATGTAACTTAATATTGTAAATGGTTTACCTCTGTCACCTGCTAGGGCAGCAGTCCCTCAATTACATTACATGCTCTTTCCAGATAATCCATATTACATTTTCCCTTTCCTTTCCTCCTCTTTCTCTAAATTTCCCTCTATGAGGAAAAATAATATAGACTGCAAAAACTAAGACACCTCAACAATAGTCCTTTTGTATTTTAATCAGCTTAGAAAATTTACAGAATCTTCTTATTTCTCATTACCATAATACTTTCCATTTTATCAAACATAACTGGGTATTATCTGCCTATATTACACAAAGAAGCTACATCTATAGCATTTTAAATTATTTTTACAGTAATTTTAATATATATTGGCTAATAAATTTGTGTAATCATTTTATCATAAGCACTTCCACTTCTTCCACAAGAAATTTAAAAAAAACCAAAAACCAAGATGTGGTAGAAAAATCTGAGGAAACTTGTCAAAAAGCTTAGTATGACAGAGGTTCCAAATTTTATTTTGCTGACTTATAATTCTAAATCTTCTATGGAAAACAGAGTGATAGAATCTTAGCCCCCTGTGCAAGAGAGAAAACAACTCCCTGCTTTGGAGACAGCAGGCCTTGTTTCAAGCCCTTGCAAATCTTAGGATTACAAAATAACAAAGAAATAGAGGGAAAGGTAAAAATCAGTAGCATGACATGTTTAATACATACTGGATTAGTCTTTCCAGGAAATCTACACCAATAGTTTTCTTGTAGTCTTTTGTAAAAATCCCCTTGCAGTATCGCTGAATCATACTCGACTTTCCAACAGCTCCATTTCCTACTACCACCACCTTGATGGCCACCTCCATATCTTCTTCCAACATCTTTGCAGTCCAAGTGACCCTCTAGTTTATTCAGAAAACTATCAATTCTGTCAACAAAGTAATTAATTACGTTCATAAAAGTGCTGTGAATAGAAAGCAAGAGGAAATATGATCACACATTAAGATTCACAAAGATTGTGTAATTTATTTTGAGTTCTGCCACAGGCTGCTTTAAGCGACCTCAGGCAAGTTATTCTGACAGTCTGTACTTCAATTTGCCACTTATTAACAGGGAATTAATATAACTGTTGACAAAAAAATACTTCTACTGTACAAATATATTATCAGACCTTGATTACGCTCCTGATGCTCCACTGCTAACACATACAAGACACTGAACTGATAAACCCAGCATGTAGCATGAGTCCTACGTACGGCGACTTCTAACTTCAGCCACTGTTGTCTTACAGCCTGTTCAGATATTGTCATAAACCTTTATCATTCTGTCATTATATCCCCTACTCCACTTCTTGTGAACTTGTATATATTTGTCTTTCCGAGAAACTTGATAAAAATCACAATAAAAAAAACCATACTGTACTATTTACATTTCAAAAGCCTATATATCGTATTAGGTGTGACCATAACCTCACATCACTGCAGGGGAGCCACCTAATTTCTCTCTGGTTTAATTTAACCTGTTGGAGCAAGTCCAAAGGAAGGCCACAAAGATGATCCAAGGGCTGGAGCATCTCTCCTGTGAAGACAGGCTGAGGGAGCTGGGGCTGGTCAGCCTGGAGAAAAGAAGGCTCCAGGGAGACCTCATAATGGCCTTCCAGTGGAAAGCTGGGGAGGGACTCTTTACAAGGGCATGTAAGGATAGGATGAGGGAAAATGGTTTTAGAGATTAAAAAGGGTACACTTTGATTAGACATTGAGAAGAAACTCTTCACTGTGAGGGTGGTGAGAAGCTGGCACAGGTTGTCCAGAGAGGTTGTGGATGCCCCATCCCTGGAAGTGTTCAAGGCCAGGCTGGAGGGGGTTTTCAGCAACTTGGTCTAGAGGAAGGTGACCCTGCCCATGCAGGGGAGTTGGAACTAGATGATCTTTAAGGTCCCTTCCAACCCAAACTGTTCTATGACAATTTTGCCCATGTACACTGTACATTAACTAGAGACAAAGCCAAGTCGCTGAAGTACATGGACAAAGTTCACAGTGCAAGCAGCTATTGCAGAAATGGGGATTTTTATATATTAAAAAAAATTCCAATGTGCAAAAAAGGAAAATAATTTATTCGGTTTACTGTAAAGATACTTCTTCCAAATTCAGTGTGGGTTTTTTTAATGCGGGGAAAGAAAGGGAGATGCACAGAAAAGCTAGAAGTTTCCCCTACGCTTTTCTGTTCAGGATATCAACACAGTCACGCTCAGCACCTTCAGAGCTGCAAATCTCCTCCACAGAGGTAAGAAAAACGGTTTTTACGGCAGAAAACGCAGCTATGGCCAAGGCTGTGCCCATCACCGCGCGGCCGCAGCCCCGGCGGGAGAGCCGGGCCGCCCGGTACCGCCCGGGCGGGCACCGCGCCTGAGCCGCCTCTGCCTGCAGCCGCCGTGAGCACGTGTGTGTTCTCACCGGGTGCCTGCCAACGA